TAATGCTGGTAACATTGGCTTCAGCAAGGATGCTGGCATTTGTGCGATGATTCAGGTATGTATTCCTGAAGTTGATTAGCTCAAATCAAAACTGTTATACCTTTGTGTTTTTAACAGTTTGTAGGGGGAGGAGTGGAGAGAGGGATTCCCACTGATCTTCACTCACATTTTCATCTTCTTTTACTTAGAGCCACCATTTGTAGCAATATAACATTATTTCATGGAGGAAATAATGCCCATAATTTTCAGAACTGAGAATCCACAATGAAATGCTTACATATACTGAAGCACACAGCACTTGGAGCTCCCACTGACTGTTTTGTCAGCTACACATAACTTCTGAACAATAAAGACTTTTCTCTGTATATGCCTAAATTTTCATTTGGATGCCTATCTTTATACAACCCGGTTCAAAATTGTTCCCCTACATCTATAATTCAACATCAGGATCATTTCCTCAGCCTACCAGTCTGTTTTAAATCAAAAGCCTCTATTACTACAGCAATATAAAGTTTTCACTTCTGAAGAATTTTAGAGTTAAGAATTGTTTTGAAGAAACTCTTTATGCGTAACGGTCACATAAAGTTGGAGATTAGGTAACTACATTTTATGGAAATATTTTCAAATTAATTTTTGTAAGGAGATCAGATTGTGGTTGGGGTTGGCACCGGCAGGTAAGAAATGCAGGAACAGGCTTATGAGGAAAGGCAGAAACACATAGAATTGTTTAATCTGGAGAAAAGAAGATTGGTTGGGAGGCAGGGAGTATTTATAACCACCTGAACAGTGGTTATCAAAAGAATGGAGGTAGACTGTTTTCTGTCAGTGCAGAACACAGGACTAGGAGCAATAGTTTAAAGTTGCAGAAATGAAAATTTAGGTTGGATATTAGGAATAACTCTCTCATTATGGGGCTGCTTAACACACTGCCCATGGAGATTGTGAAAGCTCCATTCTTTGGAGATTTTTAAGAGCAGATTAAACAGACTCTTGACTGGGATAATTTAGTCAGGAACAATTTTCTCTTGAGCAGGGGGTTGGATCAGATGACCGCCAGGTTGGATCAGATGACCTCCACAGGTCCCTTCCAACCCTAGTATTCTATGATCATTACATTTAATCCCAGAAAATTCAGTACGCTTGCAACCTTTGATGCCAAGACTACATTTACCCCAGAAACTTGAGATATGTTAATTATATGTCTAGTCACACAGTTTAATATGGAAATTGAATGCCAGAAAAATTACATTTAACAGGATTTTACTTCATAACTTCTTTGTTGAAATGGTCTTATAACAACAAAGAAACTCTTTTAAGACAGAATTATTACATTGAAATAAAATGGTTTACATGAGTGCAAAATTAGACACAACTGGTCTAAATTATGTTCTGACTTACAGCTGTGTAAACGAGAAAAAACCTGTATTAAAATAAATTGAGTTACATGAGTGTAAAATGGTTTGAACTTAAAATCAAATCAGGTCCAGTACCATTTTTAAATTAAGAAAGTTGAATGTTAATTGGCATGCACGCATTAAGTATTTAGATGATAATTAATTATTTTCCATGCTCCTAATTGAAATGTGACAACATACTTAGTTACCATTTAATTAGAGAGCAAATTAATTATATATTATCATCTTCATTCTTTATACACAAGTCTGTTCTTTGGTGGCAATTCTGTAATAAACAACACAAAGCTCAGTAGAGACTTCTGCCACTAAACGTCACCTGCACCAATCCGGCTGCGACTGCCTGTCATTGCATAGGCTAAGACTTAAACATGATTCAGTGCACAGCTTTGTGGGAATTCAGAATGCCACATGCAAAGTCAGCGGGGCAGACAACTTATAAAAGACTCATAAAGTGGTGCACAAACTTACCGCTCCTATTCATACAATGGAAGGTATCACTAGTTACTCCCTGTTAAAAACCAGAAAGATCATATATTTTCCCTTCCTTTCTGTTCCTTTTCTCTGGCTGCAGGTAATTTCAAATACTTGAATAAATATTTTGTTCAAAGAAATCTAAAAAGCACAAAGTAGTAAATTTGAGAGAAATTTCAAGCTTGCTTTTTGCTTTCATTAGGTTGGACTAGGCAGAAATGAGTTTAAGTAGTCCCAAAATTACCTGAGGAAATATCTATGGTACACTTAACGGTGTCTTGAATTCTAAAGAAGAGAAAAAATAAAACCACAGTAGAGCATCTCCTTGGCAGGTTGGATTAATATAAAATGAAATTTAAAAATAAAGTAGGAGTAAAGGAAGAGGGAAATACAAATGAACATTTTTGTAAGCTTTATCGTGTTAATAATTTTTTTGACCTTGTACCTTGCAAAGTATCTTTTCCTATGTGGCATGTTCAGATTAAGTTTATACATGACTTGTCTCAGAAGATGTACTGTATGGGCAAACAAGGGTGGATTTAATCCTTGTCTGTCCTCCTTAACTGTTTTCACAGTGTAATTTACCCTCTATTTTGATTTTGTACCGTAATCCCTATACTCCAAGTTCCACCTAAATTTAATAAGGTAAGTGTATCCTGGGTTTACTTTTGGTGATTATTGTGTTGTTTCCTTTTTCTTTTCAGACTTCTCTAGACTCAGTGACTGTTTCCCTGTGGTTTAGATTCTCAGAATTTGTACAAATCTTTTTCAGGAAATAAGAAGGGATGGAGTTAGGACCATCTCTCCTTCCTTTGTACCTCTGCTCAGAGACCTGACTGAACTCTAATAGGTAACTTGTTCTCTCTGCTTTTTCCATCAGCTTGTTTGGAAAAAAGGATACTCTTATAAGCTTGTCTCAGACATCACAACTGAGTTTACACAAGCATCCCCTCCCCAATTCCAGCAAAAGTTAGTTTATAAACAATAGAAAACACACAAAAAAGGTCAAAACTTTTGGAGTCCAGTGATTTAATAGGTTAGAATGGTAAAGACGTATCAGTCTCGACAGCCAACATCATGGAAGATGGATGCAGTTAATACCTTGTCAAGCCACTATGGAGAAAGTACTCATTTACAGTGGGGTCAATCAAGGGTGGCCTCTATAGCAATATTAAACTCCTAAACCTCTCTGCTACTGACATCATCAGCAGTCCCTCAATATGCAGATGACAGTGTTCCAGTAAATTGGGAAGTTATTGGTGAGTCCAGAGATGACTGAAGAGGCTGATCTAAGATCTGCAAGTTCAGCTGAATACCTGGCAAAAATTCCAGAAGGAAGGAGTGGATCCTGGTGATATCAGGTCACAGCTCTTTCTTTGACCCTCTCATCTGCCTCCATAATTAAGTAACTTTGTTTAAGATAATCAATGCCTTGTCATACATTACAGTGTCATTGGGGATGACCAGTTCCCCCCTTGTCCCCCTGGTCACTGACTCGTCACTGCGGGGGCATGTGCCCCTCCCCGCCCAACTAAGGTGGCACCAGTCACCCATGCCTGGTACTGATGTCAGACTGGCCTTTAAAGTGTCCTTGAATATCTTCTTTGGCCCATCTCCTGATAGGTTACCATTGGTGAGCTGGGAGCATAGGACATGTTTTAGGAAGGTTGCATATGTCCTGTCCAATGGAGCTGGCACTGTATCAACATGTTTTCAATGCTGGTGGCATTCTGTCCCTTCTGTTGATATGGAGGGCTTTCTAAAGACATTGCTAATGGTAATATCTTAAGGCTTTCAGGTGTTTCCAATATGTTGTCCAGGTTTTATACCCATACAACAGGATAATGATGACAAAAGACTGGGAGACATGAAGTTTGGTTTGGGTCCTGATGTTATGATAAAAGACATGATTTCAAAGACTTTCAACAGCAGCACTGGAAGATTTTATTTGATCTAATGTGGAATATCAACACCTATGTTTAATTTTTGGGGAAATGTGACTACCCAGATAGAGGAAATGCTCAACGTTCTCCAAGGACTGCTTCTAATGGTAATATGTTGGGGAGCAGCTGGTTAGTTTGCGGTGGCCTGGTAAAGTATCTTGGTTTTAGTGAAGTTGACAGCAAGTCCAAGCTTCACAGAAGCAGTCAAAAGTGACTGGGAACTTTTCAGTTGAGTGGGCACACAATAAATATCAGCATAGTGAAGGTCAGTAATGGAGGTGTTAGTTATCTTGGATTTGGAATGTAATTGGATGATGTTAGAGAGATTCCTGTCCTTGCAATACTAAATGCTGACTCCAGATAGCAGTCTATCAGCAATAAGATGCAAAATAGTTACAATATAGAAGGAAAAGAGTGTTGATGCAATCACACATACTTACTTGACTCCAGTTCTAATGGGGAAGGGTTATAGTTATGAGCCATTACTTAGAATAGCTGCTGTCATGTCATCATGAGGAAGTCCGATGAAGGTAACATATTTTGGTGGGAATCCAGTTCTCATTAGGATCTTCCATAGGGCCTCTCTGTTGATTGATTCAAAGGGTTTAGTCAGGTGAAGGCCATGCAAAAATCTCTGTGTGGCTCACAGTACTTCTTCTGCAGCTGTTTAACAATAAGGATCGTGTCTGTCATACCTCTGAGTGGTCTGAAACCATGATGGGACTTGGGTAGAATCTTCTGAGTGAGAGAAGTGAATCTATTGAAGAGAATGTGGTGAGGATCCTCTCAGCTATAGAGTTTAATGCCACAGTAATTGCTACAAGCTAGCTACTTTCTTAAATATGGTTAAAATTCTGGCATTTCTCTAATCATTTGTTCATGTTTTGTATTTTCAGACTAGTGGCATGTAGTTGGTGAGAGCTTTTTTCCCCCACCATGTTTAATTTCAACTGGCATTCCATCAGGACCACATGCTTTATTGTTCTTACAAGCTCTGTGGCTTTTAAAGAGTTTTTAAAGGTTGATAGATCTTCAAAGTAGATCTTAATGGGGTGTTGTAGAATGGTTTCAGTGGTATTATCTTTGACATTAGAATCCCAGTTCAGAAGGTCTTGAAAATGTTCCTTCTACCATGCATTCACAGGGGAGCTGTCTTTAACATGTTGTTTTATCCTCAGACCTCAGAGAGATAGCTTCTTGTGTGCTTGGCCCATAGACAGCATCTGCAATTGCCTACTGGACACAAAAACAGAAGCAGATGCTAATCCTGATTTTTAATTAAGACACTAGATATAACAGCCACACTGCAGATTAAATCTGTATCCCACAGATTCAGGACCCGGATTTCAGCTCCTAAATCTGTTTTACTTAAATTTGCGAGTATGATCTGAATCTTTCTTTCCATTCACACAGACAAAATATGTCAGAAGACTTTCCCTTAGCAACTGTGGTCAACTAAGCTGTGGTAGAAAAAAATATTATATTTCCATGCAATTAAAAAAAAAGTAACAATGGCAGTGCCATTTAGCTGGTAAGTCTGGTTCATAAGTTGCAAGGCTATAAAGGAGCATTATGAGCATCTAGCCTGACCCCATCTATGATACATAACATAATATCTTGTCCCTGATTCTTGTTTCAGTATAAGTCAATAGAAGCAATCCTTTCACCTTTTTCCTCCTTAGTAGTCCTTCATACCACCCAAACAATAAACTATAAGTTGGCTTGGGAGTCAGCAGCTTCATTGTCTGGCTTTGCTCCCTTGGGAGTCCCTCAACATGTCCTCATAACACAAAGCAATACTCTTTGGTCTAAACAAACAAATAAATGCATAAAGCAAACCTTTAGCCTTTCTCCGTGCATCAGGAAAGGGGCCCTTCTTATAGGCAAGCTCTGTTAGATTTCAATCTGCTCTCTGCCCACAAACTGCTCCTTCCCCAGCTCAAACTCTATGTTCTTTCCCCCCTTGGGCTTTTAAACTGCCGGTAAATCACCCACAGCTGGGTTCCTACTCCAGGATTGTCTGCTTCCCTCATGGTGCCAGACCACCCTGTTATACTAAAATTATCTAGATTAACTTTAAATGAATTGCTAGATTGAACTGAAAATTGCAGGTGTTCAGCTTCTCCTCCACAGCATGCTACTAGAATACAATTTCCATGTAAACAGAAGGAGGTTTTGAGGCCCAACATACAGTGGATCCATGTTGGCATTAGGTTCAAAGCTCTTTAGGGATGTTTAGAAATATGGGGAAAGGATACTTTTCATGAACCCAGACTATGCAGTATTCATGGGAAACTCAAAGTATCTGAAGATATTAGAGACACAAAGGCAGCTATACTATTTTCAGTTCAGAAGGTAGCACATGGGAAGCTAGCAGACACACTAAATTGTCAATATAGATAATATGAGGAAGTAATCTGACTTTCCCATTTGTTGAAGGACGTTATTATTTTATTGAGCTTTTTATATAAAGCCAATAGATGGTATAGTTCTTGTAATGGACTTCTTTGTGATCATCCCAAAAGACTCATGAAAACTGCCTGCATTTTAGGATTTTATATTTTTTCCAGAAGTGTGAGTGGATTGTTGCCAAAAAGATTGTATTTTGATGAGTTAATGCTAGCATTGTTTAAATGAAAAAAATTACAAAACCAGTGTCTGAGAGGGTTGTTTTTTTTCCCTTCCAGATATAAATAAAAGCTTTTGATACATTTTTGGGATGAGTATGATGATAGCAATCTTGTCTTTACATGCTGTTGTATCCACAGCTTTAAACTACCCTGTTTCCATAAGTGAAGGCAGTCCTAGGAGACTAATAGTAGAGAGATATACAATATGTCATGATAACAAGCATTCAACATCTAAAAAGCTTTCATGATTAGGAGCATGGTGTTACTATGGCATGTCAGGACCAAGATTTAATTTTTAAATGTTATTTCATATTATCTCTACACATTTTGTAATCATTTACTTTTCAATCAAAGCTACAATATGCTTGATATTGCTGTGCAGTTGGTGGACAGAAGACACAGCCAGTGTAATCAATACAATAACTTACCAGACTGCACAAACAAGGGCACCTTTGGAAAGCACAGATTAGAAATTAACTCACCATTATAGTCTAGGCTTTCTAGAGTGTAAACTTTTTGGACAGGAATATTGCCTGTTTGCTTTATGGAACACCTTCTGCACTTTCAAATATGGCATAAACAATACAGAATAATAACTGGCTCTTCAACAGGAGTGACTATGATGAGAAGTGCTTTAGAAATGCATGTAATAATAGTCTGAGTTTACAAAATATAAGGGTATGTCACCTCTGCAATGACAGAAGAAACAGAAAATGTAATAGGAATATTTACCAGCTGGATGGGAACAAGTTATAGAATGTGAAAGCCAGCTGCTAAATAGCCTCTTTAGCAGTGCTGCTGCTTGTTTCTGCCAAATTTACAGAAGCAGATGGCAGAAAAGCATGGTGGGAAAGGTGACTACCAAAGACTGAACTTTATACAGTGTAGCTTGTAGGAAGGGCCTAAAACACCCTCTGATTTTACAGGCTGGCACCTGAGACAGCTATTTTCCAAATATTTTAAAATCCCAGTTACATTAGAGTGCTTTTAGACCATTTTTATAAACAAGGAACCTGCATGTGGGATGCAGCTATCTGAAGTGCTCTGGATTGGCTCTGTATCCAGCCCCAGTCAGGACGGCAAAGCAGAACATGCCAGGGTATTTTCCCTCCCCAAGGTAATGAAAAACAGAGCATCCCTGAAACAGCTCTAAGGTGCCAAGGTACTATAAAGGGATCTTATAAATGAGAATCAGCTCCTTGTTGACAGTAACAAATGGAATATATACCAATGAAACAACATATGGAACTGCATATATTTCATTTAATATTTAAAAAAAAAAGGAAAATGGTAAAGAAATTAGATGGAAGCATGATTTTCACTGAAAAAAAATAACTTTAATCATCTGATCTACCAAAATTCCACCTGAATATGAATGTTTGATTCATTTCTGTTTGCTGATTGTTTTTTATTTTAATTTTAATACTTTTTAGTTAATTACACCTGTACTCCTTAGCCCACCTTAAATTTAGTGCAATTATTCACTGTAATGAAATGCAAATAACTGAAATACAAATAACTTGAGATTGCACTGAGATTTCCTTCCAATCCCTCCCCTCTTTCTTATTAAGGAAGAAGAGCATCTTAGTCCGGGAACGATATGCTTTGGTCTATCAGTGCCCCTGTGGAAAGTGAAGATTTAACATATCACAACATGTAACCATTTCCAATGCTATGTAATGTGTAAAGATGCGTGGTATATCTCATTTGGAAGTGCAAATATCACATTTCCATATGGGAGCTGAATCACTGGCTTGGAGTTAAGTTGGGAACTACTCCAAGAGGTTCAGGTCACTCTGTACAACAACTGTGGGCCCTGTCCTCCATGTCATGGTGGAACAGTAAGAGTACAAGGGGAGGAAGAAATTTCATGACAGCAGAAAGGGTTTATTACATGGTCCTCAGAGTATTTGTGACAGAGCCCAAAAGCAGCTCTATACAGCACCTGGCTGAGCCAGATGCAGATCAGGTTGTGGAAGTATGCTTTCCATAGACATTGATTTTTCTGTGAAGTTTATCTGTGATTAATACTACTAGAGTCTTCTGTGGCTCTATAAACTTTTGGTCAGCTACATCATACTGGTGGGTTAGAGCAGGGGCAGGCAATTATTTTGGGTGCAGGGCTGCTTACTCAGTTTTGGTAAACTGTCAAGGACCACATGAGTAGCCCTGCCCCTTGACAGGTGCCCCACACTCTGGTTGCCATCTTGGGACCAGAAGTCCCACCCGTAACTTCTGACCTTTGCCCCCAGAAGTCCCTCCCCTTGCCCCTTGAAGTACTCCTTTGGGGAAGAGTGTTTGCCATCTTAGAATGGAAAAAAAAACAATTTATATACTAAAATTCAAACAACCATAATAACATATTTTAATTTAATTTTTTTTAAACTGTCCTGATTTGTGTTTCTGCTGTATATGTGGAAGTGATTGCACAAGAGCTCAAAATACAGTCTTACTCTTGTATATTATGTGGGGTGTGCAGAGTTATTGTGGGGTATGGGTGGGTGTGTGTGGCATTTGTGGGGAGCTGTGGGTATGTGGATGAGGGTGGGTGGGTATGGGGAGTTTGTGGAGATGTGTGGATTTGTGTGTGTGGGGGTGTGGTATTTGTGGGGTGTGTGATTGTATATGGGGGAGGGTGGGTCTATGGGGCTTGCAGGAAGGGTCTGAGGGTATGTGGGGTGTGCATGGGAGCCCCCTGCATGTGCCCCATGAGTTGGTCAGCACCCCCTCCCATCCTGCCATAGGCCAGAGCCCAAGTGCTGTGTGGTGCCTCCCTGCCCCTGCCAACAGTGGTGCAGCCCCAGCACACCCTGTGCCTGCTCTGCATCACCTAGCCTTGGTGTGTCCTCCCTCCCCTAGGCATGCAATGGTAGTGGAAGTGACCAGCATGCACAGCCGCAACCCTGCACGCCCCATGCACGCCCCATTCAGGATCTGGGCTCACCTGTCCAAGCTCAGTAGCAGCAGCAGTAGCTGGGCAGAAACTGCTGTTTGGCATGGGGGAAAGCAGCCCCTTCCCACTGCTGGGCAGTTTTTGGTACAGTTGCCCAAAGCCTGCGCTGCACCAGACTGCCCTGCAGCTCCATCACTTCCACCTGTGAGCTGCCTGATGGCTGCTCCACAGTCCCTGCTGCTGCATTTGGCAGCCCAATTTCTGCCCTGCTGCTGCTCAGCCTGGACAGGTGAGCCCAGAGCTGGAACTGAGGCCCAGGCTCAGCTGCAGTGGCATGGGAGAGAAACTGCTACTCAGCATGGAAGGGAAAATGGCTTCTCCCCCTCCCACTGCCAGCATTCCTGGTGCAGCTGCTCAGAGTCTGCCCAGGGCTGCCATGTGTCTGCTCTGCGCTGTCCCTGCTGCCCTCTGGGGCAGCCCAGAGGTGGCAGTGACATGGTAGAGTTGCAGGGTAGCCCTGCATGGGCTTAAAGCAGGTGCACCAGGAAGTCCCAGTGAGAGGGAGGGGCTGCTTCCCCCATGCTGAGTAACAGTTTGTCCTGCGCTGCTGCTGCTCAGCCCAGATGGGCAAGCATAGGGCGCACAGGGTCAGGGTTGTGCACGCTGGTCCCCATCAGTACCGTGGAACTGGGGCTGAGGGGACTGGGAGTAAGCAAGTGTGCAGGAGCATAGTGATATCCAGATGGGAGTGTGGGGCCTACACTGTTGTCCTGGGGCCAGCACCAGTGGGGCTCAGAGTGGGGCAGTAGGAATGTGGGGTCCCAGCCAGCAGGGGCTCTATGGAGCCAGGCCAGCTCCCTTCTCTCCCTGCTGGTGTAGCCCAGCCCAGCTTCATAGACTCCTGCAAGCCTGCACACTGTGATCCTGCTGCCCCACTCTGGGCCCCACCGGTGTTGGTCCCAGGACACTGGCACGGACACTGTGCTCCTGCACACCCACTCACTTACATCCCCCACACCCTCCACCATCACTTTCCTCACTTTCCTACCCATCTGCTGGCCACTGCTGCACCATGTGGCTCTTGGTTGCATGTTCATGACCACAGGACTCAGCAGGAGCTGGCCCAGCCCCAAGGACTGGGGCAATTGCCCACAGTCTTCCCCTGCCTCCCTTTGCCCCTCCCCCTATTCTTACCTAAATTTCCCACTCTGGTGCAGTCAAGCACGGACAGCCTCATGGTCCCAGGCCATACGACTGTGCTAGGCAGGGGTTTCTGGTTGGGGAGGTGGGGTGGGACTGGGTGGGCTTTGCTGCTGCTGGGTCCTGCCATAGCTTCCCCTGGGTCCTACTGCCCCTGGCTGTCTGTCATCTTTGACAGACAGCCAGGGGCAGATAAATATTCATTTT